TACAACTGAGCAATCTGAGGCTTATCTAGCAAAATCAAATACTGCTCAGAAATGTCTTCCACTTGTACAATTAATTGTACAGTCAACAGACAGTACTCCTTGCAAGTCTTGACATATAGCAGAATTCATCTTTTAAAATCCCAACATTAAGGTTGAAATCACTAGACATCAAGAAGGTTTCTTCCTATTCTGAATATTTCATCTACTTTCTTCCACCTTTCTATAATTGGTTTATGCCAGTTAATCATTCAGGGCTTTTTCAGATTTATGAGACAAAAAAAGCAGCAACATACAAATGAGATCTAGAAAAGCACATGATAGCTATGAAAACGGCTCATCCATCATCCCTAACATTTTGATTTCAGAGACAGCAGTGAGAGGTGTTGTTTCCACACCATTCACCCAGCACACTTAAAAAGGTTCGCTCTATCACTTATACAACTGAAACTGATTGATTAGCTGCTAGAGAAAAATCAATACGAATATCCTAGAAAACACTAGCTTGTAAATTCATTTTGGCCCCAACATAGTTCTAGTCATTGTTTGACATGTTTTTCTAGATATCAAAAATGCGACCATGTCAAAATCCAGCAATCTCAGCCCTGAGAACATTGTCAGTCCTAGGAATTTTTAAAAACCCGAATCAACAGGGGGAAGTAAAGAAGAGGGCCTCTCAACTGTCTATAGCAACCAAATGATAATCCAGAATTTATTTGGTAAAGCTTAAATATAAAGATTTGTTGAAAAACAAATGTCATGCTGAGAAGGTAAAAACAGTCCATAAAAACATCAAGGGGAATAGGTTGATTTAGAGAAAAAGGAAAAGCTAGGAAACCAATTAAGTATATTTGTTATATACAATAGAAATAAAAGTTTCAGTTTAGAAATGAGTACTTTTTACTTTTACTGTACTGCTATTCATGTAAAGTTAATGAGCTCTCCCCTTTATCTCTCACTTTTTTCATAGCACATTTTTAATACTTTCAGGAATCGTTTCATACACAGAATGATTTCATGGTTATTTCACATTCTCTTCTGAATGTCTGTGGCCTTTGGTTTAGTCTGCTGTCTCTTCATTCATTATGCTCATGAGAAACAATCTTTATAAATATAAAGTGTTTTATATGTATTTTAAAAAATCATGATCTTACCGTGCATTCAACTATATAATAGGATATGGGGTTTAATTTATGCATTTTTCCTCCTTTTTAGACAAGATCTGCTATGTATTCCAGGCTATGCTTAAGCTTGGAATTGTCCTGTTTCAGCCATTTGAGCACTGGAATTACAAGTGTGTGTCATTATACCCAGCTTCCATTTGAACACCTGACACACAGTAGCCATAAAACAAATTAAGAAAAAGAAAGTGCTTTTTCCTCTCAGTGCTAGGGATTGAACCCAGGGTCATACAAATCCATTCTAATTTCCTACTATGGAGCTATATTTCTTGCCCTTTTAAAATTTTTATTTTGAAATAAGGACTCAGCAAGTTGCCCCAGTAGTCTCAAATTTGCTCTCCTCCTGCTTTAGCTCTCAAATAGAGAAGATTTACATGGGTATGCCAACACACCTGGCTGAAAATGCCATTGTAAAGATGGGAAATTCAACCTCCACTGTTGGTAAGTTTAAATACAACACTTAAAATTAGCTGGCAGCATATTTAGACTTTTCATCTTATAGGAACTTAATATATGCATGTTACCCAACAAAGGACAGCAATCTCATCATGGTGGAATGCAGAATTTAAGGGGTTTTAATACAAAGAATACTCCTACCCACTGAATTGTTAAAGAACCAAATATGCAAAAGTCACAGAAATAAAAGAGGGTAATTTCTTCTATTATATTTATCTTTACATTTATTCTGTATTAGGCTCAAATTTAAGAATTCTGTAAGACATGCTGTGCCAGCTCCACACTCGTGGCGCACTGAAATGTGATTGAGACTGGGCATGGTGGCACAGCACTTGGGAGGCTAACAACAGGAGAATCACTATGAGTTCCATCTGTGTACTGAGGGCCGGCCAAATAGCTCAGTGCATTAAAGAGCCTGCAAGCAGGCGCAGGGGCCAGGGGTCATGCCAGCCTTGTACGGGGCATGCTGAGCCAGCAATTAAAACTGGGTGGCATGTACCTGTAATCCCACCTCTTGGGAGGCTGTAAACAGGTGGATCACTTTGAGTCCGATCTAGTAGTAAGACCGTGAACACCCGGTAGACCCTTCCCTAAAATACAAAGAAAGAAAGAAAGAAAGAAAGAAAGAAAGAAAGAAAGAAAGAAAGAAAGAAAGAAAGATAGATAGATTTGTGTAGTGAGACGCTGCACACCCTATACTAAATATGTTAAAAAAAAAAAAGAAGTCTATAAGAACATTAAAATCTCAATGTCATCCAGAAAAAAAGATAATTCTACCTATTTGATGTCTTTAAAATGTGAGTTTACAGATTGCCATTTCCTATGATGGAAATGTAAGGCCATCATCATGAATTTGCATTTTTAAAATTTAGAAAATGAAAACTGTTATACTAAATAGTTTTTCTACAGAGAAATTTTTGGTAAAATCTGTCATTTGATGGTAGCCAATAATCTCTCTGTTATGGATGTCTCAATATACTCAACTCAAGTCTGACTTACCCTTTTAGATTCATTTTTAATTCCTTTAGTTCAGCAACATGTGTTCTTCATACCACTGACATAGCAGCTGCTTCACATTCTATGTTAAATTCTTACAAAAAAAATTAAATATTATAGTGATGAGAACTTGTTCAGCTCACATCACTGGTAAGTCACCTGTGTTTCAAGTCCAAATTCAACCATGGCACGAAGTATCAATACTTAACTACTTACAATTTTTTCTTGCACACACTGGCTCACTCAGCAAGTTGTGATCTCAGAACCACATATTAATCAAATGAGCTTGTAAATCTAAAAGTTAGCATTTGGGTTCAAGTCTATGACACAGATAACAAACAAGAGGCAGCAATAGCAAAACTTTATATTACAAATAATGCAATAACAACAAAAACACATATCAAAAATGATGACAATAATCTCACACTTTCTCTATTTTTATATAGTCACTAAATTACCACTCAATACTGCTTTGTTCCATGAATCACACTGTAACTAGTCCAACTGGCTTAGACATGAAAATATTAACTAGTTACTAAAATCCCATGAAAGAAACATAGTCTGCCTCTATTGTCCAGACTGTGTTTCTAATGAGAAATCAGAGCTTAATTAGATTATTAGAACATCTACTTGGTAGAAAAAAACTATTTCTACCATTATTTTTCTCTCAAGCCATATATCATACATACAAACTACATAAAGTTGTGAAGCAACCATACAGCTGTCAGTATAAGTCACAGGTGAAGATGGATAGGAGTTAATGAAGAAAATACCCTTCCTACATGGTAATTGTACAGTTTAAATTTTTCAAATACAATGAAATAGAAAAAATGTTTACATTACATGTATTTGTGTTTAGAAGTATATGACACTGAAAAGCACTAATTTATGTCTTCTAATTTATAGCATTTGGTAGTAGGGCATCTATGTATAGCCATTATGTGACAGACATATATGTATAGAGGGGAAAAAGAATAGTAGCAAAGGCCAAGGGAGGGGAGGGGAGGGGAGGGGAGGACAACTAGCCAGCAAAAATAGACACAGATTAGGTTTTTCTGCCAATATTTGCACCTTTTGAAAAAATCCTGAAAGTAATCTTGCTACAGAAAAGACAGCTACTTAAGATTTTGGCTCAGACTAGATAATAACCTGGATATAAAAACAGAAAACTATCAAGAAGGTTCTTTTCCAATACTAGCTGGATATAAAATAAAGAGAAAAGGTCTTTTGGAAGTGAAAAATATATCAACTGAAGGTATGCTTCTCTGCATTAAAAGTAATATTCCAAATTCATGTTGATAACAGCTCTAGAAAGACTACATAAAAGGGATGTGCTAGCAATTTATATCACCTGTGCTGATTTATCCTCCTAGTTAACTAAAATCCCATGAAAGAAACATAGTCTATCTCTTGTCCAGACCATTTTTCTAAAGATAAATCAGAGCTTCATTGGATTGTTAGAACATCTACTTAGTACAAAAAAAAAAAACTATTCCTGTTCTTATTTTTCTGAGGTAGATGTGAGGTATTGAAAAAAAAGCACTCTTGTGCTTGCTTCGGCAGCACATATACTAAAATTGAAAAAAAGCACTCTGAGTTACTTATTAAAAGGAAAAGCACATTGCTAATACCTATAACTCACAAGATTAAGACATAATAGGTTATCTGATGTTGGGCATAAAAACACACCACTGTTATATACATATATTATAAACAAAGACAAAAGAGAAAGTTCCTGGTTTAAGCAATTATGTGTCACCACAACTGTGACTCAGGTTAAAGACAACTCGGTACAAGCCAAGAGATACACAGGCAATCATTTTCTAGCAAGAAGTGATTTGGAAGTAGCTGGCCACCCACGCTGTCATTCTAGTCATTAAGATTCTTACTCAGTGCCACCCTTTCCTGGTCCAGCAGGTCCACAAAAAAGGAGGTGTGGCTCCTAGACTGGCTGATAGGAAGCTTCTCTTTTCATTCAAAAGCTCCAGGATACTCTTAATCTTGTATGTTTTTAATGTTTTGTCTGTTTTCTAAATGCTAAAAAAAATGCCCTCCAAAAGTAGTAGCACCCTGAGTCTACAAAAACGTTAGATTCCAGAGGCTCATGGATGTTTTCCATTTTTTTCATGGAGTGCAAAGATAGACAATCAAGTACAAAATAAGTCATTTTCTTAGAGTGATAAAATAGAAAAACATTAAAAGATTAATTGATATGAATATGAACTGAGCAATTACATTTGGCATCTTTACTTAATCTAAAATATTTGCAAACTTTAAAAAAACTAAGGTAGCTGGTATCTAAATTGTTACTTAGAAGGCCAAAAGGATTTATTAAGAAGACTAACTTCAGATGATCACAGACACACTTACCTTGAAAAGATTGTTTAGCTCTATCCACTAGTTCATCAATAGGATAACTGGCCAAATTTCCTCTGGCATGCTTAGTTTTGCAGTAGGTACAAGCATTGAGACACCTGTTCAAAGGATGGCAATAAATAAGACTCAAATTCTTAAAGATAAATTATACATAACACAGGGGGCACCAAAAATGTACTTAATATATATGACAATTACAAAAACCAATTATCTGCATGTCTCATGTTTATTTTATTTCCAACAGGCAAAGCAATTCACAATTCTTTTGAATTTCAATTAATCAAAAATGTTTCAACAAATCACAGTATTATCTTAAAATATACATGTTTGTGAGGAAAAAAATTATATATGCTTCCAATAACTAACCAAAAGCAACTCAAAACACTTTTTGTAAGTTACTGACATGTCTTTTTTTTTTTTTTTTTTTTGCAAAAATGGGGATTGAACTCAGGCCCTTACGCTTGCCAGGGAAGCGCTTATTCTACTGAGCCATCTCCCTGGCCCTCTGACATTTCAAATGCCTAGAAAACTTCAGTACTGCCCATACATACCTTTTTATTACAAATGAGAAAGCATGCTCATTTAACTTTCAACTAATGACATAAGAATAAATGCACAACATAAAAAAATACGCCCTTCAAATTTTTCCAGAATTACTTTTTACTCCTTGAAATTAGAAAAAGAAATTAAAGCATGTTTACTATATATTCTTTGGCATTACGTTAGTCAAACTAAAAAAGTAGTATGATAATATTACCCTTAAAAAATTAAAGACTTCTTTTCCAATAGTGCGTAGAAATGATAAAAAATTGTTTTTCATACATAATTGCTGATTTTAACGCTTAGAATTTTAAATATAACATAAATTTCTTATTACAAGATAAAGAATCACATTAAAAGAAGTCTTAGCCCTGTATAGTTACACACAACAGCAATTCTAGTATGTGAGGAGGCTGAAGCAGGAGGAGCAAGTTTGAGAACAGCCTAGTAGTTTAGCAAGGCCATAGCTAAAAATAAAAAACTACAAAATGAGGGGTGGGGGCAGCCTTTGCCCCGTGTAAGGGGCCTGGTTCAATCTCCAGTAAGAGCAGCAAAAACACAAAGGCCCATGCAAAAATAATGAAGCTCAGCAGCACTGAGCGAGTGAGCAAGCGAGAGACTGAGAGACGACAGACAGACAGACAGACAGACAGACAGACAGACAGACAGACAGACACAGCTTACATAATTAAACTTTTAAGTACTCGACCTAACCAATTTGTAACTTTATTGCTATGTCAATAAAATGTGTAGGATTTACTATACTCCTCAAAAAAGCCATGCTTAATTCCTGAAAACTTCTGCATAGAATCTTTGTGTATAATAATAGACAGATTTAAATGTGTTTTACTGTTTAACCAACCACCTACTCTTAATGCTGACACTCCTTTCCTATCAAGCAGCAGTGATTCTGGGTTGAATCCCCACAGTCCCCCCTGCCAAAAAAAAATAAAATAAAATAAAATAAAACTAGCTACATACAAATGCAGATAATGATAAAGGTAATCATCCAACAAGATATAATGTGACATAGCATCTGCATTCTATCATGGTCAGTGCTTATCTACTTATCCACCAGTATATGAAGTTGTCTATTTAAAATTTGTGTTTCTCTTCTTTGGTGTTTAGGAATTTAAAGATGGGCTTGTCTCTTTACTGGCCCACACTTGTCACTTTCATTCTTGCCACTGTCATCCAGTTTCTGTTTTGCTCCTTCTGCTGGGTCTGTGACAAAATGGGTAGCCTCATTTGATTTACTGTGTTTCAAAATTAACAGCTCAGGTTCTCTAGGTTGTGTCTTGGGACAGTGGAAGCCCAATGTTCTCTCCTGCCTTTTTCTCAAGTGTTTCTGCACTCTGACTACTCTCTACTGTAGGCCGTGCCATGTTCCTGGCATCCCCTTAGAAATGGCATTCACTCAGCTTGAATCAGCACCCACCAGGTAACCTGCCTTCTCTACCTCCTAAGGCCCAGGCAGGTCTTCTTTGTTCTATTAACAATGGAGAGCAACATAAATTAAGTGGACATTTCTAATGGATGATATTACTATTTCTGACAGCTGTTTCTCCAAAGCAGTGGTCTGATGGGATACGAATTGGAGAAAGGGAAAGGAGAAAAAAAAAAGGCTGAGAAACACATTTTAATCATAAATAAATTGATACATGCAAACCACTTAGTATCGTGTCTATTAAGTGATCAGTTAAATACTAGAAGTTTAACGGGACTACTTTTAAGTAATTTTGTAAAGAAATGATTACATGTCATTCTGTTCCAGGTGTATCCCCCTTTTTGTAACAGATGTGTTTGCCAATAGCATGGCTGAAACGCTACATATAGAAACCAATCGTATTTTCCTACTGTCTTATTTAAGAAAGGTGGAAATTAATTCCCCACAGAAAAATCACTCATGAAAATGTATACAAAGTTTAAATAAAACAAGCTGATATTGTAAAACATTTATAATAAAATAATCCAAGAAGTATAAATATCACACTAAGAATTCAAAATATCCTTCAGTAAATCATTCCCCTGGGTTTAATTAAAGTTGTTGAAGTAATATATTGGAGTTTGAACTCTTTATTATATAAAATGGGTTCCATCTTATACACAGCTATTAAAATAATGCTTCATATTGTTTTAGTATTTAATACTTCATATTAAGGTGAATTATTTCCACAGTACACATTTCTTGAAGCATGCCACATTAGTACCATCACAAGCATTAACTTTTTTAGGTTTTACATTTTAAAAGGAAAGAATTTTTGTTACTGTATAAAGAAAAAACATGCAGAGCAAAATTAGAAAAGCGTTTGCTTTTTGATGCTTAAAAATAATTTTTCCCCAACCAGGAACTGTGTTGACCAATCACTTCAGTATGTCAAGCTTAAAGGAATTCACAAAAGAACTGTATAATAGTTTCAGTTATCTATAAGCAATTAAATAATTGCCTAAGAGTAAGGACTCTGAGCCAGGTTCTTTAAGTGTCAGAAAACAAAAGATCTAGACATCAAAGCCAAAACGAGATGACCGTTGAACTGAAAGGAAGATGCAGAATCCTGCACAGACCTGGACTGCGACAACGAGGGACAATGCCAGCACATGCCATCCTGCTAATCTCTGTCACACAGACACCTGCCAAAACATAACTACAAGCTCCCTAGTGGAGAGAGATCAAACATTTAATTTAGCAGAATAACCTTCAAGTCTTAAAAAGCATCTGTAGTAGAATATTCTAAATTATAAAGACTAAATGATGAATTTTCACAAATCATGATATTCCAAGGGGTTTTAAACATCTAACAACAAATCATTGTGCTACTTGACCACCTATAGCAAATAAAAACTTAAGTCTTAACATATTTAGTCTTTTCTTAAAAATGAGCACACTAACGATCACAAATTCCGGAAAAATTTACAGGGGGCCGGGAAGATAGCTCAGTAGAGTAAGTGGGTCCTGAGTTCAAGCCCCAGTACCAAAAAAAAAAAAAAAATTCTGGAAAAATTTACAAGTCTGAATTATACTTTTAAAAAGGCATTTATACTACTAAGTTCCTTTTTTGTAGGAAAAAATAAAAAGCGTAATGTGACATAGGGTTCTGTTTCTACTTCAGGTCAAGAATAAGCCTAAAAATGAAAAATTACTTGGACTCAAACATTCACACTTCGAACCAGTATACCCCATTTCATTCAAATAACTTAATTCTTATTTATTTTTAATTTATTGAGAAAGTATAAGAGCTTTCTCAAAGCCTCAGATGTTGTGATGGGCCTTCAGTAAGAGCTAAACTGAGGAAGAACCAACTGGATCAGTCCAATTCTTCTGTACTGAAATATCACCAAGCAAAGGAGTGCAACAGCAGTTGGACTCCTCCTTCACTAAAGACACAATAACTCACTCTTTATAAAGATACAAGATTGACTATGTGCTCATCCTAATAATCTCACTAAATTACAATGTATCTATATATTTTACTATTATTAACACACTATTTAGGGACCAGGGAGATGGCTCAGAAGAATAAGTGCTTCCCTGGCAAGCGCAAGAGTCTGAGTTCAATCCCTGGTTCCAGGGCCAAAAAACTATTTAGTCTATAAATAAAATACCAATAAATACTCAGTGCTATTGGAGAATTCATAATGGATCAGACCAGTTATCAAGCAAATATTTGGCTATCTACCCAAGAAGGTATGCTAAGTGGAACTGTTATGGTTTGTGTCTAGCTGTCCCCGCAAAGCCTCATGTAGTCATGGGGTGGGCTTATAGAGTTTGTGATTAATTCATGATCCAATGCTGGAATTATGGGGGTGAGTGCTACACCTACCATGAGGCGGACAGCCTGAATGCAATATAAGAAGGGAGAGAAGCTTGCTCTCTTCCACTGTTCCTCCCTTTTTGGTCTTTTTTCCTCTTTCCCACCACCAGGAACTGCTGCCCTGAGCCTGGTGCCACTCTACCTTGGACACAGCTGATTATGGACCAAAATTTCCACAAACTGTGAGCTAAATAAGCCTCTCCTTCCTTAACTTTGGGTGTTGGGTATTTTATGTCAGACATGAGAGAAAAGTAACTGAGACATGAATGGCATTCAAGAACACAGGCCTAGGGAAGCTAGGAGTGTAGAAGATAGATGGCAGTTATGGTGAACCTTTCAGAGCTTTCAACAATAACAAACAGCTGGCTGTGGCACATATGCCATAAGTTTGCCATCACTGCCATAAAGCAATGACATGGATCTTACAGGGGAAAGGATCAGCATTTGTTTTAAAATTCAGAACACTGAGAACAGGAAACTGAAGCTTGAAGACCAAAATTGTAAGATCAAGGCCCCTACACAAGATAATCTTTAATCATTACAGTGCACCAGAAAGACTTCCTGGCAGGACAACTCTATCAAAGATCACTCACCCATTTTCTTTCTTTACATTTTCCTAGAGCTTGGGACACCATAGAACAGCACACTGGAAATGCACACACATAAAACTAGTCACCAGGGAGGGCACCAACTTTTTCATTTGCCAAGTGAGGACATCATTTTTAAGTTAAACTACCTTGTACTGT